GTCCTTATAATATTAGTTAATGATGTATTTATTATATTTTTTTATTATTAATTTATATAAAAAATTACAAAAAAAATTTATTTTTAATATTAATACTATGTGAAATATTTTAATTAAATAATTAATAAAATTAAAACTAGTTTTTATTTTTTGTATTTAAATTAATGATGAAAATTTGGGCACAATTAGAAAATTCCTTTATTAAAATCCTAATTTTCCCTCGCTTTTTACCTTGCTCGAACCTACTCAAAAGCATCAATTCCAAAAAACAAGGGAGACAGTCCAATATCTCCCTATTACCTACATGTATCATTCAGTTCAGACAATCCATGCAGCATGCTTGTATGTCAATTGTCAATCCCTAACCAGGATAATAAATGTCCTACTTGGAGTACAGTAATCTCAACGGCTTTTGAGGCCTAGAACAAAATTGGTTTCATCAATGGCAAAATTAAATAGCCTTCTGCTGGTTCTATTAAAGTCATTGCAATAACTTCTGTTTTTTATTAAAAAAAAAAAGGTCATTGCAATGACTTAAGGTTCTCTCTTAGCTTTCCAATTCAGTATAAAACACAGCCTGATAGTGTAATTTTCAATGAAAAAAATGCTGTCTGGACAGATCTACATGAACTATATTCACAGCAGTATGTTCAATGCATATTTGAAATTCTGAGGCCAGCTAGACAGCTACCGAGGAATGTTTTTTATGGTAGCATATTAAACCACTTGAAAGGGTGGGATGAATTGGCGATTTATAATTCTTAATTTCTTATTATTCAACATGTGTAGCTAATACCAATGATATGTTGGTTTAAGTGGAATAAGTTTGATTTTTTTTAAATAAGATCTCGAGTTCGAGTCTTGTGAATAGAGAAACATGCTCTAAAAGAGTTTTCTCTCTAATGGAATCCGATATGGTTTGATTTCAAATTAATCAGAACCCAATGTGATTATGAGATATTGAGAAGTTAATAAAAAAAAAAAAAAACATGTGTAGCTAATCTTATCTTTTATAATCATACAAAATACCTTAAAATCGATTCTTATATTACTCACAAAAACTCTCAAGTTAGTCTCCTTACGCGACCTATTTCTTCAATAAATCCACTTACTAATGCACTCACTAAAACTCCTACATGATCAATTGGATATCCATAATCTTAATGTTTCACTCAAGGGGAAGTACTTTTTTCCTTTTTTTACTAATCATTCAGTATTCAATAATCACATTAAATTTTAATTAATTTAAAATTAAATCACATTAAACCTTATAAGAAAAGAAACTCACCTAACACCTGTTTCTCTATTCATAAGATTCGAATTTGAAACCTTATTTAAAATCTTATTTATGGAAATTGAATCGCTTCTATTTGAATCAATAAGTGTTAGTTTCAGAAGAAATATTAGAACTACATACCATGTGCTTTTAGTAATTCTTTTTAGATTTCCTTTTATTATTTTCTTGTAGGTTCAAATGTGCAATAAATATAAAATTCAAAATTAAACTCTTATCCCCGCAGAGAGAAAGTAGAGAAATATTCTTTTCGGTCCCGTAATGTGAGGAAAACATAGATAACCAAATGTGAATAATGTTTTTGGGTCACGATTTTATTGAAAAACATGGAAGTCCCAACAAGAAAAAACCAAGAATCAATTTCTCTAACAAACGGGAAAGAAACGAAAGGAAACATGGAGAAAACAGTCTTTTTCATGCTACATTTATTCAATGATTTTAATCACATTATGAATCAAAAACATCCCAAGTTTATTATTATTATTTTTTAAATAAAAGAACAGCTCTTGAAACTTGAAAGTTGAATGAATAAGCCCAGATAGACAATATAAAACTACGTTCTATGTTTTTTTTTTTTTTTTATCCATTCCCGAACCAAACACCCCCTAAAAACCACGATACATAAATCTGAATCAATTTTCATCAATTGTTTTTATGGCCGAAGGTAAAATAAATCTTCATGAAATTCAAGAACAAATTTTTCAAGTTTCAAACTCATCTTATGGCTTTGAACATGAAGTTTGTTGATTTGCAGAACGACCCAAGAATTGAAGCTCCTTTTTATCCAAAATCTCCATGGAAAAATCCCGAAGCATCTGAGGACTGCTAGAAGATGTAGTACCACTAGTACCACTAGCACCACCAACACCTGTTGTAGCTGAGCTTGAAATGGGTGCCGCACTAGACCCTATTGAGCCACTGCCGGACCCCTGAACCTCCGCCATCTGAACCCCACTGCCTTGCGGCATAGCAGAGACAAAACTGGATATGGGCCGGGCTGCCATGTTGAAAAACGGTGTTGCGGTGGCCGGGATCGCCCATAATTGTGCCTGGGTAGAACCGGCAGCAGCAGCGGGAAGCACGCCGAATGCGCCCATTGGCCATACCGGGACTAACCCTTGCGGATTAACATTGATGCCATTGTAAGCGATTGGCGTAATGGGTGCTAGCCCAGAAGAGACCGACTTTTGGTGATCGGTAACGTCGACGAACTCGCTATGAGACGGCCGTTTACGCTTTCTGGGCTCGCCGTCCTCCTGGTTGGAGGAAGTTGGGATCTTAAGAGTGCCATTGACAGACACAGCGATTGCCGGAACTGTGCCGGTACCTGTGGCTTGAATAATTGCCGGCTCCGAGTGTTCCAGCAGCCACTTAATTGTTTCACCGTCAGACTTGTGGCCGAGTTCCCGAGTCAGCTGAAAAATCCTGGCCGCACACGTCGCGGGCATACGGATCCTACGACCGCGACCTTCCACTTTGGTGTGTCGGTCTCTCGAGGGGCGCTTGGCGGGTTTCGGTGCCAACGACGGATTGATTTGGTCCGGCGTCACTTGCACAAGCCCTTGAACGAATTCCTGAGGCTCCGTGTCCGTCAGGTCTTCTTCTTTCATGGGCGTACTCGGGTCCACAAAATTGGCGGCATTTTTCGCCGTGAAGGTGGTGTCACCGTCTTCCTCGTTGTGATTATCACGCGGGTTGACGATCATCGTCGTCTTATTGCTGATACCGTCGTCAATTTCTTCAATCATCTTCTTACGCTTGGACTCCATTTTTGCACCTATCCGATGACCAAAACATAAAAATTGATTAATACCCAGAAAAGATCAAACAAAAACAATCGAAACCCAGAAAAGCAAACACAGGACTAAGCCCAAAAGACACGAGCTTTTTACAGATTTTATTTTTTCAGAAACCCTAATTTCTACGGTTTTTTCAGGGGCACAGAGGATCAGTTGACTGGTTTTGAATTTTTTTCTCAAACAGTCGAGAAAATAGAGGGGACTACGGTACAGTAAAGATGGAAAAAGACTATATTAAAAATTATAAAAAAACAAAATACAATAAGATAGAGAAGTAAGGTTGCAGAGAGAGGTACAAACCCTAGGAGGATGAGCCCACCACTTATCCGAGACAGAGGGACCCTTTCAAGCATTATTTATTTTGTAGTGGGGGAAGGAATCGACGGGTGGGATGATCTGGCTTGACTCATAGGTGAAGGAGATTGTGACACATGGCCATGTTTCCATTAGGTCAAAGTGGTTGAATTGTTTGGAATTTCTTAGGAGGAGGGATGGGATATTCTGCTGCTGTGCTCATTTTGGCAAGTACTGCTAGCCCTAGATATCATGCCATTCCAAGAGTTTATGTATATCCCATGTTTTTTTCCATTTTCTTAAATATAAAAATGCCAGTGAATATAATTAATGTAGGTGGAAATACAAATTTAGTCATTTAATGAAGCTTCATAATTTAGTAAAATATGTATAATTCGATATCACATGATTTGAGATACAATATGACAAAAAAAATTTGTATTTTTACGTGACAAGTTTATTATTTAATAAACATATTAAATTGATATATACCTACTTTCATAACTACTAATTATTAAGGTTTTTGTTTTGTTAAAAGTGATACCACACAAAATTCCGAGACATCAAAACAGGGTACGATGGTGGAAGGATGAAGGTTTTGTCCACACTTAGCAGTCAAAGGTCACAATTTGGCATCGCCTTCAAGAAGGGAACGGAGAGCAATTTGTCCTTTCTCCATACTGATATTTTAAATGAGAAAGCGATTTTTTTCATTTTGTTCCCTCGTTTTCTTATTACACTTTGGAAATAAGTGTTCGTTTGGAATCTACTCTTTTTTGTTTTTTTCTTTTCTTTTCTTTTTTATTTGATAATCGGAATCTGCTCTTTTTATCCTTGTGATGTCTAATTTACAGAAATATTGGTTTAACGAAGGCAAACATGTGATTCTGTTTCCTATACAAACCCAGTTCCTTTGCCATCTACCATTCCTCGACCCTAGTGGGTGTCTCATTAATCAAAAGAAAAGAAATAAAAAGGCATTGTAGCTTGGTTGGCATCGGTGTTTGCTTATCACCTATTTCTACTGAACCACCGTTACGCCAAAAGGAAGATTCTGACAGCTGACTTGAGTGCATAATCAAGTACCTAGTGAGGCAATATGAACGATTTACCTTTTGTGGAAATCATAACGCGTTAACAGATAACAAAAACGATTTACCTTTTCGATTTCTATGGTAAAAAGATGTCAAAGGCTGTTATCTTCTAAACCAATCTCTAGTGGTGAAGAAATAGTGTCACTGTTAGGCCTCCCGTCATTAAATCTAACCGTAAATCATGTCAGTGAGATAATAGGTGCCTGGTAACAATACTTTCCTTGCTTGTCACAAAGTCTTTAGCTCGAATTGATACTCCATAAGCTTCATGGTGTCGACAAATCTTATGGGAGGAAACTGCGTGAGCAAGGCAATAGAGTTATCACAACAAATGAGTCAAAAGCCAACAGCATTAAGAGTGAATTTGGCTAAAAGCAATCAAATGGTAGAAAGAATGTAAACAGAAATGTGTAGAACAAATTCATTGTTAGAATTACATACTATACGAGCTGATTACTGGGCACAAGGTCTATTAAATGCCTTTTCACGTCCTATGAATATATGCCTACATATGAGAATATATTTTGTAGATGATTTTGAGCAATGTCCAAATCTCAATAAGAATAGAAGGTTTCCAGGGAGATATGGCAATAGGTTCTAAAAGTAAAGACTAATTTAAATTCTGCTGGAAACAGGTAGAATTTAAAAGCTAGCTTATAAGCTTAATTACCTTCTGCCTTGTTTGATTTTGATACACAGATAATTATATGAGCATGTTAAAAGATGAATGAATTTTACTCCCCTGCCCTTAAGACCAAAAGAAAAAATAAATTCCTACTTGGTCTTTGATGATTAATTGCATTGAGACAGAAAAGAAACTATGAAACATAATCACAGCGTCAAGCAACTTTTAAGTTTTAACTAATTAACCATGGGCACACAAGAAGCCACATTAATTTTACCATCTCTTTCCAGCTTATCCAAATAAGCACTTGCTTCTTCAAGGAACCATGGGACAGACAAACTGATAAATAAAGAATTGAGTTCGAAGAATTAAGGAAAATACCTCGTGTCTTAGATTTCAACTCCTCTGAAACATTAAACACTTTCGCAATGTTCCGCAAGCTGTAGCATCTTGACCATTTTGAAGTTTATGGAAAACATTGCAGCAGTCAACCACTCCCATATCAAAACATGACTACCTGCTTGCCTCCCTAAAAATCAATTAGTACACTTTGTCTTAGAATTTATTGTTCACCTGCTCAATATTTAACAGGCAAACTAAACCCAGAAACAGTTCTAAAGAGTTTTACCAGAGAGCTACATATATTGTGAAGACAGAAATGATGCATTCAGAGATGCAGTGCACATGTTACCAACTTGTTTTGGTATTAGGGTAGATGGTTGCACCTTTAAATCATAGAGATTTTTTTGCAACGTGTTGCCTTACCTGTATGCAAAAGAAATTGGAAACCGTTACTACCAAGGACTGTGTTGTCAGAGTAACAAATAATACGAGAGGATAATGAGATCAGATTACCTTTCAAGATCCTGGTTCTTATGGTTCTTGTTACCATACAGGTCTAAAAGTGGGGCTAGCTCCTATTTTGCTACCTTATCAACAAAACTGGCAGACAATGCATATTTGGAAAATATTAAATCATGCATCCAAAAAGAGTCTTTTAGCACGCTTTGATTTTATTTTACTCAAATACATAAACAGAAATCCACAGATTGTTGTTTGCTCACACATTAAAGGCATATTATTTAATGATATACATAGTTAAGAAAACCTTGGAAACTTTAGTCATGTTGCTCTTTTCTCTTCCTATAGTTGACACCTCTAAAGCTGGAGTTTCATGAGTTAAGCTCAGTTGAACCATTTGTTAACTTGCACTGCTTCAAACAAGGCCCCAGCTCTTCAAACAGAGGTAGTCATATTGTTCTTTAAAATTAAAGTGGAATGTGTTAGAATTAGAAAATGAAACAAAACACCCATTGCAGAAGATGATATGTGAGAAGCAAATTAAGACAAACCTGGCATTCTTCAAGAAATCATTGAAGTATAATGGGCAAAAGTCTTTTGCACAAGCTTCAGTGATAGTTCACAAATGAAAGCAAACGGATCAAAACATTGAAAGAGTTCACAAGGAAGTAACTTAATGAAATTTGGTCTCACAATCTAGGTTCTAACTTAAACCTTATTATAGGAAGAATGGAACACAAAATAATCAGCATCTGAAATTGAAAATGGTCTGCCCTTCAATTTCTGAAATTCAAAAGTAGCAGATAGGGCAAATTTACTAATGGTGTTGATTCATTTAAAAAGTTAAAGCAAATGATTCTAGTAATGCTGCATAGACTTACTTCTCACAGAAATGCCTGTAGTACAAATCAAGTGCCACGAGATAACAAGTTTTTCACAAGATACCATCAACAACCTACAAGTAGAATCAATAAAGAAAGGAAAGAAAATCCTAATCAACTGAAATTGCAGATTCAAAAGTTTTAAAATAATATGGAGCATAAAGAAAAAACCAAAAATTGCCTTCCTTGCACTAAATAAAAACCTAATAGTAAATAATTCAGCATTTGGAAAGTCCCCACTAGTATATTATATATATAATATATAGAGCTAAAACTTAGCATTATATTGCAGAGCATCTAAAAATAAGAGAATTTTATAGATACACACACAAACACACACATTTGTATCTTTTCTTGCTATTCAAAAACCAAACCAAGAATAAATAATATGATAGCTTCAATGGAAGTGATTTCCCACTTTGTTTCTAAATAGTCAATTTATACACACCATGCAAATAAATTTAATCAAGTAGAAGTCTTTATTTTGTTTTTGAAGACTGAGCAACAGAAAATTTATGCATAAGTTCAAATGGGTAAAAGCAGAGTTAAGTCTGCTATATGAGGGGCCAATCATTTTCAGAGACACAGCAGTCAATAAAACTTGCAGATAGGAAGGTGGTGTTACTGGATATTCACTTGCAAGGTTATGCTTGTAAAAATCATAAGTATTTGACAAATGGCTGCCCCTGAATTTGACCTCAAAGAGGATGAAGCATTTGGCCCAATAAGCATGGTGACTGCAGCTGTCCCTCCAGCAGACCATGCTGGTCCTTCCACATAAACCTACAAAAAGCAACTGTTCTTTTCATCAATTTAAGCATCTATCCTTTGGTAGCATTCATCCATTTGTCTGAGTCTACCACGTAGATTAACTCCAAAATCACTGCAGTGAAGCTGCTTGCATTATTCTCATGAATGAATAACAAATGGAAACCTTAAAATATAGTTATTCAACGCTCAAGATGCCTGCCATGCAAACCACTTAATTTAAATAATTTCCAGCTCAAATCATGGTAATTTTTTCAATTATAAAAAAACTAAATTCTATACTCCTCTTTCAAAATATCATATCACGCTATCCACCCAATTAACACAATTGAATAAAGCCACACTGCCACAATTCCAACATAACATGCATTTGTTGAGTCTGTCAGTGCTACCACATTTCCTGTTTCAGATATAATTAGATGAAAACATGTCACCGTTACCACAATTGAATATTCCCTTTTTACTTTAATAATTAAAGGTGTAATAGGATGCATCCTTCTATGGAAAGAAATCACCCCATTGGCCCATTCAAAATTTCAACAGAAATTATACAAAAACCATGCATTTGTTAAGGGCACGTGCCATGCATATAGATCTTCCTTTTTTTGGCAGTTTCAAGAAAAGTAATAGTAAAACCTGTTTTTCCCTCACAAGAGTTATCATGCATCATATTAAAGGTGATTCAGGCTTTGATCCTTCTTCAATTTTCCATTTTAAATTCATTTTCTGTACATTTTCTTCATCACTAAAATGAAATAGATATATCTTCTAAGATTAACTAGACAAATTCTACAGTACAAATCAAAAGAACTATGGATATCCTGTTATTGAAAGTCTTTCCCAGATTGTATCTCATGTAGATAATTTTTTCTCTACATGGAAAGGTATGAGCATATAATCAATGTGATACGGAAGCGGATCAAAGCTTCAAAACACCTGGAATCGGCCAATTAAATGCTATTTTAATCCACGTGGCATCAGAGCTACCCTCTGACAAGGGATCTGTGATCTTAGTAGATAAAACCTGTCACTTTAGGATACTACTAACTCAATCAACGCAAAATTCCCATTTTTCGGACTTATGCATCCTGTCAGGTGAATGTGAATGAAACAACACATATAATTGGATAACTAACGTATCAAGTTCTGTTTGTCAAACAACTAACTTAAAAATGTTCATTATAATTGAACTTAAAAGTTTATTATAATTGCAGTTCACATATAGACCAAGACAATATGAAATTATAAATAAACTAAAAGAGTACCTCAAAGACTTGCATCAAGAAGGTCTCAATGGACTTGTCCTTGTCAATCACTCTCTTGCTACCAACTTTTAGGTGTCCAATTTGAGTTGGATCAATTTTGTATTTCTCCAGGAGGGAGGCAGCAACCATCTGAAAAAGGAAGGACACAGGAAACATAGTGCTACAAAACAAGCACAAAAGGTTACGAATTAAAACAACTGATGGTGACAAGTAACCAACTAATTCTTTGATGCAAGTGTTAGCTATGCCTACTGGTAACTTGCTTTATGGACAAAAACGGTATATTTGTTAGCTTCGAATAAGGGAATAGAGAGTATAAACAAAGAAACAAGCAACAAGCAAAGTATAAACAAAGAATTTGATATAGTTTTACATAGGAAATAAAATAATTAGACAATGTCTGCATTCAATTTCACAACCTCAGGATTTTAAGAAACAAACAAAAAGATTCTTCTCTTATACTTAGATAAATGAGAAATAGAGAGTAGCCTAGGTCAATAACCTCATCAAGATGACATCTTCTACTTCTGTACAAAATGCCACACAACACAATCTTGTCTGAGCCCAAATAGTATATTTTCCTTTGCTAGCTAGCACCATCACGAAGATGTTAATACTCATTATAATAAAATCTTTCAGCATATATAGTAGTTCGAACTTCAAAAATCTTGATGCTGACTATCATAGACAGAAGCAAAATCGGGCATATGCAATTTATTTACTATCCTTGTGACCTTAATAGAAAACAAATTATCATCAGAATAATAGAATTTCCAGCACTCAAAAATCAAAATCTACATAAAAAGGAATCTCGATTTTCTGAGCAATTTAAAACCACCGATTGCTGAATTCACCAAGCAACATTAATTTTCCACTTCTTTTTTTTGAGAAATTCAAATCACAACAATAAACCGTTATTTACTCGAATCCAATTCGTATGGCGTTTCATTGTAACATCAGCTCAACCACAAGTATTCTAACAAAATCAAAAGAACAACGGGGAAAATAAAGCTAAAAGGAAAGGAGAATCGTCACCGCACCTGCCGAAGGCAAGTTGAACCGAAGTAGATATCAATGTCGAGAAATCCCCGATTTTCTGGACGCAAAGCCATTCCAGTCGCCCGAAGGCATGCCGCCTAGGTATGAAATGTGCGCAGTTGTATGGCGCGCCGTCTGGTCTATTGATGAAACCATGTAATGTGTGCGTAAATGAAGAGAAGAGAAGAGAAATGTGAGGAAGATAGATTTCATGTAGAAAAAATTGTTTTACACAACAGACTGTTCAGACGGATTATATGCAGTTTATGATGTGAAATTATTTAAATATTATTAAATTTATTTTTATATTAATTTTTTAAAGATATTTAATTAATTTTATAAGAAGAATTGTATATAATTCATTTTGTAAAATAATTTTTTGTTTT